TTTTGTGGATGCAGATTATCTTATATGTGGAGTTATATGTAAGTACCTTGGCAAACTTGAGAATTTTAATGCTGAATGAGAAGAGGGAAAAAAATGTGTTCAATTCATATGCTTAACTGACAAATTATCTATTTTATTATTTATAACAAATTCATTTCCCATGTACTTGCTAACTAAATCTTCTCATTTATTATCCTATTTTGCAGGCTTGCTGTGTTGAGTACATTATTTTAGAGGGTGACAATTTGTCATCTTTATTTCCAAACGCGCATTTAAACATAGGAGGATTATTCGAGCTAAACTCTCCCCATCTTTTTGCATTAATAACAACACTCGCAGTTCTTCCTACCGTTTGGCTACGCGATTTGAGCATCCTCAGCTACATTTCTGGTACAATAGTGATTTTAAATTGATATGTTGATGTAATAAATGTGAATTAAGGTAAATACAATAGTTAGTTAGCCTTATTTTTATGTTTTTGATAATTTTATTACCAGTTGGAGGAGTGATTGCATCTATACTAGTGGTTGCTTGTTTGTTCTGGACTGGATTAGTGGATAACATTAATATGCATGCCAAAGGGTCGACTATAAACCTCTCGAGCCTTCCAGTTGCAATTGGGCTCTATGGTTTTTGCTACTCGGGCCACGCTGTTATTCCCAACATTTATTCGTCAATGGAAAAACCGAGCCAATTCCCTTCTGTTCTCCTCATGAGGTAAAAAAGTTTGCAGTAAAAAGATAAAAATGTTTTTTTTTTCTTTACATTTGCAAAGAAGACATTAACAATGTCGAACTATCCTTAAATTAGATTCGTTCAACCTTTTTTTTTTTATTTTTAATGAGAAATGATTTGTACACACTTTCAATAAAGAATCTGTATTTTGTTAAGGTGATTGCTTAATAAAACTTTCTAATTGATATTTTTGCTTTCTTCGTATGTCATATATTTGTCGCGAATGCCGAAAAAACAAATGAATGAATAAATAAATATATAAAACGAAGAAATGTATAGACTATTTGACTGGATTACATATTGAATTAATCGTGTTTTTGAGCAGTTTTGGTATTTGCACTCTGATGTATGCTGGAGCTGGAGCTATGGGTTACATTATGTTTGGTGAGACTACACAATCACAGTTCACACTCAATATGCCTAAAGATTTAACTGCCTCCAAAATTGCTGTTTGGACTACGGTTAGTTCAATTTTATGTTTGTATTTTCTTGATTTATACAAAGAGTCGATCTTTTTATATGAAATAGTTAAGCTATGCTCGTCTAATTGAAATTGTACTTTCATTGTGCAGGTTGTCAATCCATTTACAAAATATCCTTTTCATCCGATGTTCGATTGGTGCTATCTTCCTGCAAGGAAATGAAATTGGAAAATAGCTTATTTTTAAAAAAAAATGCATGAAGTAAATTGAATTAAAAATGCAAAAATATCTATGCTTGTTAGTTATTACACAACTGTGANGAAAAAAAAAAAAAAAAAAAAAAAAAAGGAAAAAAAAAATATTTTTTCCTTAATCACAAATACATATGCATTAACAATGTCCCCTGTAGCCATGAGCCTTGAGGAATTAATACCATCAACACATCGAAATTTCCAGATGTATTCAGTCCTCATAAGGACAGCTTTGGTCATATCTACATTGCTAGTGGCTCTTACCATTCCCTTCTTCGGTAAGTTACAAAATATTTAACTAATTTTAATATAAATTGTATTGTTCTTGACTACTTTGTTCTGTTTATTTGGCTAATATAAACAAATAAATAATAAAAAATCGCATCGTCCGTGATTATTTTTCGTCGGTTATGTTGGCTAATTATTATAGCTTTTGTGTCTTGCAGGTCTCGTGAGTGCACTAATCGGTTCTTTACTCACAATGCTAGTCGTAAGTTCTTTTTACTTCGTTTTTTTACGTATTGCTTATTTTCTATGCATGCACTTTAATTACACTTATTTTTCGGTTCGCTCAAACTTTCTCCCATTCGCAGTCGTTAATTCTTCCGTGTGCTTGCTACTTGAGGATCTTAAATGGGAAAATCAACATATTCCAGGTAAAATAATCATCAACAGTTGCTATTACACAAAATCAAGAAAAAAGTATATATCTCAAAGATTTGCAACCATTTTTTTTTTTTTTCTTGTTTTGCCGCAGAGCTCGATTTGTATGTTGGTGATTGGTGTCGGAGTTGTAGCTTCTGGGATTGGGTCCTATTCGGCGCTCTCCAAAATTATCGAGAGCTTGAGCTGAAAGACTTTTTTTTTTTCTAATTTTTTTTTACTTTGATTTGTAGTATGTGCTTTGTGTACTAAGAGCATCTCCAATGGAAAATGATCCATTTTGTGTTGTATGGCATGGAGAATGAAAACTAAAAAATTATGTCTCCAATGGTTGATGTTAATTGTGGTATCATTTGTGATGTGTAAAATTTTAATTGGTTGAAAAAGATAAATAAATGAAATAAATATGCTAATATACAATGGAAGTTGTCTAGAAAGGCTTCTACATCTAGAAAGCCTTCTAGAATTTTTTCAAACCACATAAGATTATTTGTGACATGTGGCAACAAAATAGAGAAATAGAATGACCACTGGAGATGCTCTAATTCATGCAATGTGTTGGTCGAAATTGGAGTTAGAGGTGTCATTAAGAGGACATTTTGATCTGTATGTGTATCATTTAAATTTTTTATCAATCTCAGTACGGAAGTGAATATATGTGACATTCAAATTCATTGTCACTAGTGATGGCTTTTCGGCTCAAGTATTTTTGGGCATTCGATTGTTTATTTTTCTATTGAACAGAGCAAGTTCCTCTTCCGTAGCTGCAAATTGAAATTTCTTCTCTCTCTCTCTCTCTTTTCTTTCATTTTTAATGTTTAGAAACTTCTTTGGTCAAACTTTGACCAATTCCCTGAGAAAAAAGGAAAAGAGGAATAATTTTACCATTTCATCTTCTCCATAAGACTTTCTTTCTTGATAAGAACTATAATAGTACAACTCATTCATCCACAACTCAAGTTAAAANCTTTAGAAGTAGAATCCAAGTCCCAAATTTTCCAAAATATGTCTCGATTAATTCACACCCACCATCGCCTTTTCTTTTTCTTGCTCTCCACCACTGGAACTTCTGCACACAGATATCAAAAAACCAGAGTCTATCAAAAACCATTCTATGAATGAACACTGCACAATGAAGTAATAAAACTTTGTACCTCCTAATGGATAAATTGAATTATAGTGCACCTCAGCCCAAAAGCTCAAGAATATAACTGCAAATAAGAAAAACGGATAACAATTATGAGAGCATGTTAAACGATGTTGCCAGCAAAGTGGAGATATCACAAAAAAGGGGTTTTAGTGTGTTCCTTTTTTTATTTTCAGTTTTCAAATTCAACTTTGTTTAATAATCTCCAACCCGACTCTTCCAATAGATAAAACCCGAAAAAAAATAATATTGAAAAGAAAAGGGAAAGACATAAAAGGCAAAAGAGTAACCAGCAACAACAAACTTACTTCTATTTGACTTTTCAGTTTGTGGAAGAATCTCGATGTAGCATGTATCCTTAAACGACGTAATCACAAAGATCTTGATGCCATACTGTAAGGAAAAAATAATAATAATAATAATAAACAAATAAATTGGTAAGGATGTATAATTTGGTTTAATAATCAAAATGTTAGGACCATTATGCAAGAATTCCACAAGATCAGGCTACAGCTCAAAGGCAAACAGGCTCATGCAAAAAGCCAAAAACCACTTAACACAAGCTAATTAAAGGATGAAATTGTGAATCTTATATGTCCTCAAATTATTTACAGATATGCATGCTAAATAAAGGTAAGTCAAATCATAATTTTAAGGATAAGGGGAGATTTTTAAAATCATGATTCGATTTTTGCAGCTTGATTTTTTTCAAGCAGATTTTCGATGTTGAATATTTTAGTGCTAAGAAACCAGTATTTATTAAAATAGATGACAAGGTTATCAGTTATACATGATTATAAAAAGTTTACTCGAATAAATCAGCAAAGATAAAATCATATACAGATTTTAACATTTCTTAACAAGAAAGGAGCCAATTAGGTCATAAGATAAAGTTATTGCAAGTAATAAAATCAGAATACAACAAAGAGAGACATTGATAGAAAGAATCATACGCAATCCGAGGCAGCCTGCAGTGTCACATGATCACCCCATTCCCCACTTCTGTAAGCATATAAAAGCTGGTTGGACAAGAAAATACTAAATATGCACATTTCAAGAATGTATAGGTATAAATAGTAATACATAGCCTTGAGGGTTTAGTCTACTTACTGGAAAACAAAATCCCCACTATAAGGTTTCTATTTACAAAATTGTACACCCTCAAAAGGCAATATAGTTGAGAAAAATGCAAATTTCAATCGGATAAAATCGTTTTTTAGTCATATCTCAAGTGCAGTCTTTGTAAACCATCCCAAATATATATTAAGAAAGCGATGGAATTAGTCGGAACTGTACTTGCTTATTTTCTTCAAGTAGTCGCTATAAGCCATAGGCACATAATTGTCGTACAATTCAGGTTGAGACTTCAGCTGATGGATGGGATATTGAAAAAGGCAGCATCAGAAAATGGATGGAAGCATTCAAATTGAAAAAAAAAAAAAGGTGGATTAACTGTAAGTGACAAAATATCATGCCATGACATATTACAAGCAAACCTGGCTGACTACTTGCTCTCTTACGAATTTATGATGCTCTGGAGTCCGATATATTTGATCTGATAAGGACCGGAACTGCATATAAGTGCAGGGAATACATAATAAGCCACGGCCTGGATATATCGAATATATAAATAAATAATATTGGAATTTTAGATGCAATAGGCAGGTTAAAGAAAAATAATCAAAATTTTGCAGGGAGTATTGAACCAGCATTATACTGAAGTTGATTTTGAGTTAGCTGACTACCAGATTAGGTTAAAATATTATTTCACTAATCTGACAGCAAAAGAGGTAAAAAAAAGTAATTTGTATATATGAATAAATTAGTAGAAGGATGTCATAAGACCTACCTGACAGTTACCATCTCCCAATATCTTGAGTTCAGTTAGCTCATATAACTGCAATCTGATGCACCCAAAATGATAACAAGAGTCAAACAAATATAATATAAGAAACTAAATAGTATCGCAAGTGCGAGGCAAGTAAACAGGCATGAAACGACTAGATATACTTGTGACAGTCATTTATATCATTTTATTCTCTCCTTTCCATTTTATTCCTTTTCTTCATCCACTCTTTTCCTCCCTTCTCTTGTTTGTCCTTTTGACATGGTTCTTTGTGTTTGTATTGGTTGAAGTAAAAAAAACGACTAACAACACCAAGCAATCACAAAACTCAGTAAGCTAGCTTCTTCACTGAAAAAATGTAGGAAGGAATGCTCAAATGAGGGCATAAGAAAACGTGGATAATTAAAAAGTCCCACCTACTTACAAGGACCGAAAGGCAAACAAAACATTGACAAAAATTCTTTCAGATGTTTTGTTGATACAAATATGTAAATTGGAGAAAGAAAATTTGTCTTGTTAACTGTGTAATCAAGATATAAACATGTAAATAAAGTAACAACCTATTGATGTACTAATGAAAGATACATCTGGACAGTATGCACACTGAATTTTCCCATTCCTCCTTTGTGAAATGAACTTTATCAAGCCATGTTTTCATCAATCTATTAAGGGACTTGAGCCTCATTAAATTTGGCTCTTGGCAATCAGTTAGTTAAACTACTCAAGAACAATACATTGGCTGCAAGAGTCAAATCAAGTCATTTAATGCCCAAACAGAAAGACTGCATATAATAAAAATAAGTTGGTCAAAATTTAGAAGATTTTTCATGAACCGAACAGCATTTTATAGTGATTCACCCAATGAGAAAAAGCAATCACTGAATAGCAATACAACAAGCTGCCAAAAACAAACGAAAACTAGATAGATTTAAACAATTACCGGTCCAGAAGCCTTTGATGATCTGACGTGGCTTCATCTGCTGATGGTAAATCTCCATTAGTTTTTGGAACATGCTGCAACAACAAGAAACAATAGTTATATCAACATCCGCATGAATAGAAAATAATAACCACGTGATAAGTGCACACTGAAGTTCAAAAAAGATTTTCCATAAGAGGAAAGGAGAGAAAGGGTGTAAAGTAAATAGGGAGCCACTGTTTACATATATGACGGGAAAAAGCTATACACACACACACACACAAGCTTGCACATAATTAAAACCAAATAATTAGCACTTACAGGAACAGCCACCATCTGATTCAGCCTTTTGCCCAATTCACCATCAATATCTGTCTCATCTTCTATTTCAGGTAAAATACCTTGCTGATCACCATCAACTGATAATCTTTCAAGATCGGTTAAAACTGCTTCTTTCTTCTCCTCTTCTTGACTTGACTGAAACTCTGCAAACATGATAAATAATCAGTGTTCCCAAAACTTCTGGTAATAGAGATGAGCTTTAGAGTGATCTTTCAAAGTAGTAGAAAACTAGAAGTTGCTACTGTAGCAAATAGAAGCTAGAGATTCCAATTTTTATTGATTGACAAAAAAGAGTTACTAGTTTCACGTCATGCAACTGCTTACTTGTCTGTAGAGAATCCAAAAGTTGGATCATAAATATAAAACCTCCACTCTACATTTACCGAATATTTTTATTCCTATTATCTAAGGTAGGTTTCGAGAGAGTGCACGGAGGGTTTGGGTATGGTAGTAGGGACGAAGAGGGGGAGGGTGTGTTGGACTTTGCGATGGCCTACGACTTGTTGATAGCGAACACCCTCTTTAGGAGGAAGAGGGAATCTCACCTGGTGACCTTCCATAGTGGACGACACGCAAGTCAGATCGACTTTATCCTTGCAAGGAGGGAGGATAGGAGCGCTTGCGTAGATTGTAAGGTGATACCTGGGGAGTGTGTTGTCCCCCAGCATAAGCTGGTGGTGGCGGATTTTCGATTCCGAACTCGTGTCCACCGGAACAAATGTGCCAAGACCGTGAGAACGAAGTGGTGGAAGCTTAAAGGGGAAGCGGCGCAGACGTTTAAGGATAGGATGCTAGGTGAGGGGCCTTGGGAAGAAGGAGAAAATGCAGAGGACATGTGGCTAAAGATGGCAACATGTGTTCGGAAGGTGGCTGCAGAAGTCCTTGGTGTGAGTAGGGGAGGCAAGCAGGAAGCGAAGGACTCTTGGTGGTGGAATGACGAGGTGCAAAGAGCTATTCAGGAGAAGAAGGAGTGTTTCAAGCGCCTCCACCTTGACAAGAGTGCAAACAACATTGAGAGCTATAAAATAGCGAGAAGGGATGCAAAGCGTGCCGTGAGTGTAGCGAAGGGTCAGGCATATGATGACCTTTATCAACGCCTAGGCACGAAGGAGGGGGAGAAGGACATTTATAGGATGGCTAAGATTCGGGAGAGGAAGACAAGGGACATCAACCAAATCAAATGCATTAAGGATGGATCGGATCGGCCACTGGTGAAGGATGGGGAGATCAAGGACAGATGGCGAGAGTACTTCGACAAATTGTTTAATGGAGAGAGTGAGGGTCCTACCCTGGAGTTGGATGACTCATTTGAGGATACCAATAGATGTGTAGTGAGAAGAATTCGGGAGGCAGAGATCGGAGAGGCTATGAAGAGGATGAAGGGAGGTAAAGCAATGGGCCCTGATGGTATCCCCATTGAGGTGTGGAGATGCTTGGGCGCCAGAGCGTTAGCATGGCTAACTAAACTTTTTAACCTAATTTTCCGGTCAAACAAGATGCCTGATGAATGGAGGAGAAGTACTTTAGTACCGATCTTCAAGAACAAGGGAGATGTTCAAAGCTGTGGTAACTACCGTGGGATTAAGTTGATGAACCATACGATGAAGCTCTGGGAGAGGGTTATCGAGCATCGCCTACGTCGAGTGACGAGTGTGACCCAAAACCAATTTGGGTTCATGCCTGGAAGGTCGACCATGGAGGCGATTTTCCTAATACGTCAGTTGACGGAGAGATATAGGGACCAAAAGAAGGACTTGCACATGGTCTTTATCGACCTAGAGAAGGCTTATGACAGAGTACCGAGAAATGTCATGTGGTGGGCCTTAGAAAAGCATAAAGTACCATCTAAGTACATTACCCTCATCAAGGATATGTACAAGGACGCGATGACGTGTGTCCGAACATGTGGGGGCGACACCAGCGACTTCCCAATTAAAATAGGACTACACCAGGGGTCAGCATTGAGCCCTTACCTATTTGCCTTGGTGATGGATGAGGTCACAAGGGACATACAAGGTGATATCCCTTGGTGTATGCTCTTTGCTGATGATGTGGTGCTAGTTGACGAGAGTAGAGCAGGGGTAAATAGGAAGTTGGAGCTGTGGAAGGATGCGTTAGAGTCGAAAGGCTTCAGACTTAGTAGGACGAAGACCGAGTACATGACGTGCGCTTTCAGCATGGCTTCACATGATGATGATGACATTACCCTTGACGGGCAAGTGGTGGCCAAGAAGGAGACTTTCCGGTATTTGGGATCGATGCTACAAAAGGATGGCGGCATTGATGCGGATGTTAGGCATAGAATTGCAGCCGGTTGGTTGAAATGGCGTCAGGCGTCGGGCGTGCTCTGTGATAAGAGGGTACCACAAAGGCTAAAAGGTAAGTTTTATAGGACGGCGATTCGCCCGGCGATGCTATACGGTGCTGAATGTTGGCCTACAAAGAGGCAACATGTCCAACAACTAAGTGTAGCAGAGATGCGTATGTTGCGTTGGTTCTGCGGGCACACAAGAAGGGATAGAATCCGGAATGAGAATATTCGAGATAGGGTCGGGGTGGCCCCAATTGAGGAGAAATTGGTTCAACATCGGCTGAGGTGGTTCGGACATGTCCAACGGAGGCCTCTTGATGCACCGGTGCGTAGGGGAGTTCTTCAGCGGGTCGAGGATGTTAAGAGAGGTAGAGGTCGNTGTTCGAGTCTTTTGTGTTTCTCTTGAGTTTCATCTCTAGCCTACCCCGACTTGCTTGGGACTAAAGGCTATGTTGTTGTTGTTGTTGTTGTATGTTTCCTATACTCAAAAGTAGATTGCTCCCATCTAATAACACCAAAAAATATGTAGTACCACTCTACATACACATAGAAGGACGAAAATAAATGAGAAAAATAAGCTGCGGTGTACCAGAAATTGAGTGCAGTCCCAAAGGTCTAACCCAGTCCTGAGCAAGAATAGTTTCATCTTGATATTGTTTTTCAGCACATGTAAATCCCGATCCATCTGAAGCCCTCGATAGTTCTTCCTGAAGAGTGTAAGCAATAACTTCGTCACTTTCCACATTTGGGCTACAAAAACCTTCCGTTACGGACTGGGTCCAAGAGAAGTCCTCCGCATAACACGTGAGAGTTTGTGGAGAACCATTGTTTGAAAGAGAGCAGACATCTACGAGATGGAGGCCCCATCTTAAAACATCAGGATCTACCTCATACATTGTCATCTACTATCTGATGACCCAACAAAAGCACTTTTCCGCAGATTAACCAAAGACAGCTGTTTTCAGCAGAAATATCTAGTGGATGTTCGTCAGAAACTGCAGGAAAATCGGTGCAGCTTTAATCAGAAATCCGAAGCTCATATTCATATAAACATGAATTAAAGCGGAAGATTAAGATGAAAACTGATTTTCCAGAATTTTAGAAATAAACAATGCTAAATTCATAAAGAAAAACATTAAAGAGAGAAAGATGGTCTAGTCCATACGACATATGAAAGGAATCTTAAACTGCAAGCACAAAATGAGAAAAAAATAGAATAAAAAATGACCATCATGGTATTACCTGAACTACATATTAAGTTCTTATGCACTCTAATAATATTAACCTCAAGGAGTGGAACTCTCATCTGTAATCTTAATATCGTGTAGAATATTTTTGAACTTGAACCACAATAAGTTCTGCGATCTTATTGATGAGTAACCTCAACATTCCCACCCAAAAGTAACTTTCTTGAAAGGAATCCCCCTCAATCCTTGCCCATAATATTTCAGATTCAACTAGACCTAACAGAAAAGCTACCGATTTAACAATATATATTAGGGCAATACAGGAAATCTTCTTAACCAAATTTTTTTGTCACCAAAACTCAAGAAACCACTTATGATTCATAAATTAAAAAGCGGAAAATGCTCCTACAGACCTCGTACACCACTCAATAGATGGTTAAAATAAAATTCCTTACAGCCAAAATTTAATTTACTAAAATAGCAAAACTCCAGGTCAGAGTGTCACCAGTTCGAACACTAGCCTTCGATAAATATTGCAAATACTCTGAATATCTGTTTCTAACAGCCTCAAATACTTGCTGGAGAATAAACAATCAGTCATCCAAGGAAAACGTCAACTGACTTACACTGGGGAATGCCTAACATAACTGTCTTCTCAGATGCAGCCTTTATATATTGAATGGAGAAAATTTCCCTAACCAAATTTGATCTTTTCATGATACTTTTCAAGTGTAAGAGAAACCAAACCAGGTCTTTTTTTTTTTTTTTTTTT